AACAGAATACACTCGTCCCTTATATGTTTATATGATCCATCAAAAATGTATTTACACCATTGTTCTATTTAAGACCTAATTATCCTCAATGTATCAGATTAGACGTGAAAACTTAAAGAGTTTCATCAGGCCACAGTTATTTTATAGCACACACTCACTGCCTTTGAACATAATGGAATTATAACATCAATAAAATGTCTCAAGATAAATGGCCTTTCCTTGAACACCTAGTATAAGGTGTTTACATATTTTTCCAAGTATTAAACCAAGATCTTAGCAATACTGTCTATTAATGCCATAAATAATACTGTCAGGTGTGAAATTTCCATGGTCAGTTTCTTACTGCAGTTTGCTTTTTGGGCAGTGCCTCACCACTCATCGATCCTTTATGGTGGAAGAAAGGATTCCACATCTTGGCTTGTCCATGCGATGGACTTTACAGCCATTCAGAGTTCATTTCATTCCTTTGTTTCTATGACAATGCCTCAGTTGCTAATTTGTTAAGAATTTTTTGAGTGTAGTTTTTTTTCCTACATTTTTTTCTATGTCCCTCATTTGTTCACATTTAGGCCAGTCCACAAATTTGCCAAATCATTCTAGCATCTTAACCTGCCTTTACCAGTACTGGCAAACCCTGCCCACTCAGAGCTATCACTACCTTAGTAAATATAACTTTCCAAGAGTTCACATCTATATATATCACCAGATCCTCCTTGACCATTTTTAGAATATTATAAACATCTGAGTTAGGTAAACGTCTACTGTACCCTTCCACCAGCTTGGACATTGCTTATTTTTCCCCAGAGATTTCCCTTTCAGTTAGTTTATTTAGATGAAATTTTCTTAGGTAAAATAAAGCAAGTCAGGTCTTATTGTGTGGTGTAAGAATGACAAAAAGGAAGTTTTAGATAATGGAAATAGTTATAAGTTTATATAATATATATATATCTCATTTTAAAAGAGGATAAAGCCTTCTTCTTGCTAATTTGCTACCATTTGTGTTCATGGTTCTCATTTACTAAACTACTTCTCTAATCATTTTAATAGTCCAAACTGTTTGAATTATTGAGGAAGTTTCCTTTATCATGTTTAGTGTTTGACATGCAAACTGTAAGGTTGACATAATTTAATACAATCTTAGAAATTGTCACTAATGTCCCAGGTCAAGAAAGGGTTTATACCATTATAAGAGAAATATATCACGATATTATCTAAAGATATTATAACACTCATGTACTCAAGTGCAAGGGAGGTCATAATTTTCTCAGGTAGATTGAAATGATGAATGTCACTCAAACAGATTTTATTTTCAGAGCCTTTGGGGCTCATTTTTTGGTGGGAAAGAGGGATTACCAACATCAGTTTTTCTTGTGCCTTGCTGCTTAAGTTTGTTCTAAAGATTACTATTTCCCTTTTTACTGTAGTAAACCTGGTACATCAAGATTGCATTTCCTGTTCAGAATTAAAGGCTTCTAGTTCATGGAATTGGTTTGTGAGGTGCTTAGTTTCAAAGGTCCTTCAGGGCAATATTAAAACTGTTTGGGGAACAGACTATTTGTCAGACAGTACAGGTCTCTCTTATTAAAATACTTTAGTCAGGAAATTTTCCTTGTAAAAGATCAATGGCAAGTTATCTGGTGCACCCTATGTTTTTTTTTTACCAGTTGCTGGCAAATTGATGTTGACATTTTAGCATTTGGTCCTTTAGTGGAGGTCTATAGTGCTGCTGTGTTTCAAGTATTTTTTAACTTAGTACATATGTGAAGAGCAAGGTTTAAAATGTATTAGAAAAAAGACAGAAGGGAAGAAGGAAGGGAGGGCAGGAGGACTGGAGGAAGGAAGGAAGGAAGAGAGGGAGGGAGGAAGGGGAGAGAAAGCCATTGAACTTGATCTAAGATCTGTAGAGACACAGTGGAAAGAACATTGTATTGGAATCCTAAGATGTGCATTTGTTTCTCCTTCATATGGAGCAAGTCTTTATCACCTTCTCCATGAGTCCTTCCCTGATCATCCCATATGAATTGCTAAACCCCATAACCCCAATTTTCCCAGTCCTCCTTCCCAGCTTTAATTTTTTCCACAGCACTTGTCAATATCTAATATACAACGTTTTTAATTCTTGACCTTCTTGCTCTCCAGCATTACAGTGTAAACTCCTTGAAGGCACATATTTTTGTCTATTTTGTTTACTATCACTTCCCTGTATCCAGAACAGTGTTTGGTACGTTGTAGAGTTTCGGTAAATATTTGTTGAATAAATGAATGAAATCATCTCTATGAGCCTTACTCTTGCCATCTGTAAAATTATTAGGGTTATGAGGAAGATTAACCAAGACATTATGTGTAAAAGCATATTAGATAGTGCCTGGAATATAATAGGTATTTCGTGTGTCCATTCATCTGTGTTTATCATGTAATAGATAGATCTATCAGTAAGTTGTCTAGATAGTGTGACAGCGTGTCCCAGATTAGCCAGAACAGTCCCCTTTTATGCCCATAGTCTAGGAATAATTATCAGCAACTTCTTTCACAAGTGCCCTGATTTGGACGATAAATTCTATGATCACTCTATCTAAAGATAAAGCAGGCTTGTGAATTGTCCTTAGGGCGAAAGAGTTTATCTCATACCACATAGCCTGAGTTATAGTAAAACAAAACCAAAAAGGCCTTCTAATTTGTTAGTTTTAGGTTAAGAATGAGATATGGGGATAAGAGGTTATTTGGCAGGATAGGGAAAAAGAGAAGATTTTTAACTGTTAACATAAAGAGAAATATTAGCAATCTTCTAGTATCAAGTAATGTGTAAGTGTCCAGTCTTTGAATTTAGTACATGTGGGTTCAAACTCCAATACCACCACTTCTTAGCTATAAAACTGTGGGCACTTTGTTTCACTTATTTGAGCCTCTATTTTCTCATCTGTGTAAAAGGAATAATAATAGTACTCATTGGCTTCATATGAGATATTAAAATAAATGTAACCTCTAACACAGTACCTGGCATATAATAAATATAAGTAAGTGCTAACTACTATTAGTATTGTATGGAGTGAAAGCTTTCAGAAGTAATATTATTGGTTCCCTTCGATCCTAAAGCAACAAACTGGTTCCATAACACAACTGATTATTTAAAATATTAAACACTTGGCTAAGAATGGGTGGAATTGCCCAGCTTCCACAATGTTTCGTAATCTAACTCCATCTATTTTAGATCATTGCATTTTGTTGTAAAGTTTATTGAATAAAGTACCAGCCCCATAGTATTAATAATTTCTGCTGCTTTTAGCTTCTGCACAGGATCCTGAACATGATGGGTGATCAGTAAATACTTGAAAAGCCAATAAATGATTGAATATTCTGAAACATTCAAAAAACTATAATTTTGAGACTTCATTTAATAGACGCCTATGATACCATTGTTGGGTCGCATAGTGAATAATTAGATAATGAAATTAGCATCTTTACTTTTATGCAGTGTCACCACTTAAAAATTGCCTGACTACGGGCTTCCCTGGTGGCGCAGTGGTTGAGAGTCCACCTGCCAATGCAGAGGACACGAGTTCGTGCCCCGGTCCGGGAAGATCCCACATGCCGCGGAGCGGCTGGGCCCGTGAGCTGTGGCCGCTGAGCCTGCATGTCCGGAGCCTGTGCTCTGCAATGGGAGAGGCCACAACAGTGAGAGGCCCGCGTATTGCAAAAAAAAAAAAAAAAAAGCCTGACTACAGTAACTTTTAATAATAAGTTATTTGGAATTTTTCCTTTTGTAGTAATTTAGACCTGAAAGTATAGCTGTGATCTACTACAATGCGTTGCTTTACAAAAAGGAAAACTAAGTCCCAGGTATGTTAGGTTCTAGAGATAGTATTAGAGCCCAGGTCTCCTCATTTCAAGTGAGAATTATTTTGACTTTTTCTTTTAATGTCTGTCTGTCTTTAATCATAGTGATGTGATTTGAGAAATATCCAATTATTTAGAGGTATCTTCCATAATAAAGTAAGGAATAGTTTAGAAGATACTTTGGGATTTCAGTTGTTCCATTTCAAACATCTGTTTATTTTTCACACATTTGTAATAAAATTTTTACCACTGTGTATTTTATAAAGAACATAATTACTAGTAAAAGCTTGATATTTTTATTATTAAAGTATTCTAATGAAAATTAGATTCTAAGGCTATTAGACTAATTTCATAATAAAGCTTATTCCATTAGTTTCAAAGGCAGGAATGATACCATTTTAATTAAATGATTTTTTTCTCTTAATTTAAAATATTTTTTTATGGAAGGCACTCTTCAGCCATTATCTGCTAAAATTATGTACTCTGAGTTATCGTGTAGCTGTAGTTACTTTGTAATCCTGAAAAATGATGTTACTTTGTAATCCTGAAAAATGATGTTACTTTGGTTAACACATGTCCTTTGGAGTTGATATAAGATTAGCTGAAAGTATTGAGAATAGTCTGTGATTGATTACTAGGCTTCTTTGACATATGATTGAGAACCTTCTCTATTGCATCAGAATGAGTTCATCTATTATAAAACTCCCATTGTTCTTTTTGTTTCTCAAATATTGTGATTACTTCCAAGGTCTCCCAAAATTTTAGGAGTAGATACTAGAATATTTTTCCACATAAACTTAACCCCTTAAAAGTTTTTAGTTTAACTGTTTTGAATTTTCCTGAAAATATTTCTAAGAAGCATGGTGTCTATATTTAAATACTTACATCCATTCTATTGAGTGATACTAAGATACATAATTCCAAGGGGGAAAGACCATGTCAAACAGTTACTCCTGAGCAGCAAGTCGGAGCTCTATGGAGGTGGCGGCGAGAATCGGGCGGAGGCTGCAGGAGCGACTCTTTTGAGCTGAGAGTTTCAAGCCAGTCCCGACTCCTTCCTCCCCCTTCCCTCCCCCTTTTTTGTTTTCCGTTCCCCTCCCCCTCCCTTCCCCGCCCGTCCCCGACGACCGGATCCTGAGGGGGCAGCTGCAGTGGCAGCTGCTGAGTTCTCGGTGAAGGTTTTTCATTTCTCCCATCCCCTTCCCTCCCCACCCCATCCATTAATATTATTCTTTTGAAGATTCTTCGTTGTCAAGCCGCCAAAGTGGAGAGTGCGATTGCAGAAGGGGGTGCTTCTCGTTTCAGTGCTTCTTCGGGCGGAGGAGGAAGTAGGGGTGCACCTCAGCACTATCCCAAGACTGCTGGCAACAGCGAGTTCCTGGGGAAAACCCCAGGGCAAAACGCTCAGAAATGGATTCCTGCACGAAGCACTAGACGAGATGACAACTCCGCAGCAAACAACTCCGCAAATGAAAAAGAACGACATGATGCAATCTTCAGGAAAGTAAGAGGCATACTAAATAAGCTTACTCCTGAGAAGTTTGACAAGCTATGCCTTGAGCTCCTCAATGTGGGTGTAGAGTCTAAACTCATCCTTAAAGGGGTCATACTGCTGATTGTGGACAAAGCCCTAGAAGAGCCAAAGTATAGCTCACTGTATGCTCAGCTATGTCTGCGATTGGCAGAAGATGCACCAAACTTTGATGGCCCAGCAGCAGAGGGTCAGCCAGGACAGAAGCAAAGCACAACATTCAGACGCCTCCTAATTTCCAAATTACAAGATGAATTTGAAAACCGAACCAGAAATGTTGATGTCTATGATAAGCGTGAAAATCCCCTCCTCCCCGAGGAGGAGGAACAGAGAGCCATTGCTAAGATCAAGATGTTGGGGAACATCAAATTCATTGGAGAACTTGGAAAGCTTGATCTTATTCATGAATCTATCCTTCATAAGTGCATCAAAACACTTTTGGAAAAAAAGAAGAGAGTCCAACTCAAAGATATGGGAGAGGATTTGGAGTGCCTCTGTCAGATAATGAGGACAGTGGGACCTAGGTTAGACCATGAACGAGCCAAGTCCTTAATGGATCAGTACTTTGCCCGAATGTGCTCCTTGATGTTAAGTAAGGAATTGCCGGCGAGGATTCGTTTCCTGCTGCAGGATACCGTAGAGTTGAGAGAACACCATTGGGTTCCTCGCAAGGCTTTTCTTGACAATGGACCAAAGACGATCAATCAAATCCGTCAAGATGCAGTAAAAGATCTAGGAGTGTTTATTCCTGCTCCCATGGCTCAAGGGATGAGAAGTGACTTCTTTCTGGAGGGACCGTTCATGCCACCCAGGATGAAAATGGATAGGGACCCACTTGGAGGACTTGCTGATATGTTTGGACAAATGCCAGGTAGCGGAATTGGTACTGGTCCAGGAGTTATCCAGGATAGATTTTCACCCACCATGGGGCGTCATCGTTCAAATCAGCTCTTCAATGGCCATGGGGGACACATCATGCCTCCCACACAATCGCAGTTTGGGGAGATGGGAGGCAAGTTTATGAAAAGCCAGATTAGCCTGAGGCCTGCTCAGTCTTTCCTAATGAATAAAAATCAAGTGCCAAAGCTTCAGCCCCAGATAACTATGATTCCTCCCAGTGCACAACCACCGCGCACTCAAACACCACCTCTGGGACAGACACCTCAGCTTGGTCTCAAAACTAATCCACCACTTATTCAGGAAAAGCCTGCCAAGACCAGTAAAAAGCCACCACCGTCAAAGGAAGAACTGCTTAAATTAACCGAAACTGTTGTAACCGAATATCTGAATAGTGGGAATGCAAATGAAGCTGTCAATGGTGTAAGAGAGATGAGGGCTCCTAAACACTTTCTCCCCGAGATGTTAAGCAAAGTAATCATCCTGTCACTAGACAGAAGTGATGAAGATAAAGAAAAAGCAAGTTCTTTGATCAGTTTACTCAAACAGGAGGGGATAGCCACAAGTGACAACTTCATGCAGGCTTTCCTGAATGTATTGGACCAGTGCCCCAAACTGGAGGTTGACATCCCCTTGGTGAAATCATATTTAGCACAGTTTGCAGCTCGTGCTATTATTTCGGAGCTGGTGAGCATTTCAGAACTAGCTCAACCACTGGAAAGTGGCACCCATTTTCCTCTCTTCTTACTTTGTCTTCAGCAATTAGCTAAATTACAAGATCGAGAATGGTTAACAGAGCTTTTCCAACAAAGCAAGGTCAATATGCAGAAAATGCTCCCAGAAATCGATCAGAATAAGGACCGCATGTTGGAGATCTTGGAAGGAAAGGGACTGAGTTTCTTATTCCCACTCCTCAAATTGGAGAAGGAACTGTTAAAGCAAATAAAGTTGGATCCATCTCCTCAAACCATATATAAGTGGATTAAAGATAACATCTCTCCCAAACTTCATGTAGATAAAGGATTTGTGAACATCTTAATGACTAGCTTCTTACAGTACATTTCTAGTGAAGTAAACCCACCCAGTGATGAAACAGATTCTTCCTCTGCTCCTTCCAAAGAACAGTTAGAGCAGGAAAAACAACTGCTTCTTTCCTTCAAGCCAGTAATGCAGAAATTCCTTCATGATCACGTTGATCTACAAGTCAGTGCCCTCTATGCTCTTCAGGTGCACTGCTACAATAGCAACTTCCCGAAAGGCATGTTACTCCGCTTTTTTGTTCACTTCTATGACATGGAGATTATTGAAGAAGAAGCTTTCTTGGCTTGGAAAGAAGACATAACCCAAGAGTTTCCAGGGAAAGGCAAGGCTTTGTTCCAGGTGAATCAGTGGCTAACCTGGCTAGAAACTGCTGAAGAAGAAGAATCAGAGGAAGAAGCTGACTAAAAGAACCAGCCAAAGCCTTAAATTGTGCAAAACATACTGTTGCTATGATGTAACTGCATTTGACCTAACCACTGCGAAAATTCATTCCGCTGTAATGTTTTCACAATATTTAAAGCAGAAGCACGTCAGTTAGGATTTCCTTCTGCATAAGGTTTTTTTGTAGTGTAATGTCTTAATCATAGTCTACCATCAAATATTTTAGGAGTATCTTTAATGTTTAGATAGTATATTAGCAGCATGCAATAATTACATCATAAGTTCTCAAGCAGAGGCAGTCTATTGCAAGGACCTTCTTTGCTGCCAGTTATCATAGGCTGTTTTAAGTTAGAAAACTGAATAGCAACACTGAATACTGTAGAAATGCACTTTGCTCAGTAATACTTGAGTTGTTGCAATATTTGATTATCCATTTGGTTGTTACAGAAAAATTCTTAACTGTAATTGATGGTTGTTGCCGTAATAGTATATTGCCTGTATTTCTACCTCTAGTAATGGGCTTTATGTGCTAGATTTTAATATCCTTGAGCCTGGGCAAGTGCACAAGTCTTTTTAAAAGAAACATGGTTTACTTGCACAAAACTGATCAGTTTTGAGAGATCGTAAATGCCCTTGAAGTGGTCTTTGTGGGTGTGAAACAAATGGTGAGAATTTGAATTGGTCCCTCTTATTATAGTATTGAAATTAAGTCTACTTAATTTATCAAGTCATGTTCATGCCCTGATTTTATATACTTGTATCTATCAATAAACATTGTGATACTTGAAAAAAAAAAAAAAAAAAAAAAAAACAGTTACTCCTCTTACAATAGTTTTTAAGTTATAATAAAGCTTAAACTGAACTGGAAACATTTAGATCCTATAGAAGTTAACAAGAAAAAAAAATCAGATTTAAAGGCATGTAATATCCCAGTTGTTGTTCTTTAATCTGCTGTTTGCATAAAGCTAAGAATTCATCAGATACAAGGAGGATTATATGCAGAAGTATTTACAGAATAAAATTTAGAAAGATAAGTCATCTATAAAGTAGATGCATGCTAATAGCATGCACGTAAAATTGTATTATTCTTAGTAATCTATTTTCATACCTGATATGTAGGTTTTAGTACTGAAAGTGATATGACAGTGAGCCTAATTTCGAGAGATTTACCAAGAGACAAACTAGATACATGAAAAAATACTAATCAAAGATAAAAAGTAATACACACTGGCCTACATTAAATGCAGAACACATGCTATTGACCAGTAGCTTCCAAACTCAGGCTGTGCAGCAGAATCACCTAGATACTTCTTTTTTTTAATGTATATTCCCATCAGACTCAATCTGTTTCCTGACTTAGAAATTCTAGACCTTAAAATCTATAGTGAAAAATTTTTTTTCTCCAAGTGATTCTAAGGGGTAGCTTCAGATGGATGGATATATGGTTTTGAAGCATAAATATGCATAAGTAGTTGGGATAATTGTGGACCACTTCATGGAAGTAGTGGATTTGAGATTGTGTTTTGAAAAGAGGCTAGGCACAGTTGTAATTGTGAGAGTAGAAAGTGCCTGGGCATGATTAGTGTTTTATAGAGCAAATGATCCCTGAAGCAGAGAGGTGGAAAATTGTTTGAGGAGCTAGATAAATGCCAGCCTGGAGATTTGGGGAACTCGATAACTGAAGTTTTTTCCAAGGAGATTTTATATATATATAAAGCAATTTTAAAAGAATACATATTCTGTGTTAATATTTGGGATTGACTGGAAGGCTGGGAACTAAAGACAAAGTAAACAGGAGCAGACAGATTTGAGGTTTCAAGGGTTTGTGTAGAATGCTTCTTGTGCTAATGAAAAGAAGAGCAGGGGACCCAAGATGATAGTAAAGGAAGAACTGAAAATTCTTACAAAGAAAATGCAGTCCTAACAATGACTTGGTCAGATACAAAGGGGAACAAACATTACAAACCTTGTGCCTGCATATCTAAAAGGTGACAATCAGAAAGTATTTACCAGTTTTCAAATAGAGTACACCGAGATCATCTCTGTAAAGAGTTCTAAGTTTTTTAGAACTGTTTAGCCAGATATGGCTAAATCTTTACCACATAGAAAATAGTATAACTAGTAAATAAATTACTATTTTCAGAAACACAAGAACATGTAATTTTGATACCATAAAATAATTGTATTTTCTCATTCAACTCAACATCAGTTTATTTGTGTAACAAATTAAATCTAGTGATATATATGGACCCAAGAGACTTCTTTAATAAACAAACATTGTAAGTTAAATATGTTCTCTGAAATATCTTACAAATGAAGACAAACTACATTTAGCTGAAATACAAGGAATCCATTAAAAGGTACTTATTAGAAAAATACATATTATCAAATATTATTTGCACAATTTTGGGTGTCATGTAACCTGCGAAGTCATAGCAGTTATTTCAATAACACATCAGGTTGATAAGCCATGTTGATATTCTTTTTTTTTTAATAAATTCATTTATTTTATGTATTTTTGGCTGAGTTGGGTCTTTGTTACTGCGCACAGGCTTTCTCTAGTTGCAGCGAGCGGGGGCTACTGTTCATTGCGGTGCACAGGCTTCTCATTGTGGTGGCTTCTCTTGTTGCAGAGCCCGGGCTCTAGGCGCACGGGCTTCAGCAGTTGTGGTACATGGGCTCTAGAGCGCAGGCTCAGTAGTTGTGGCAGACGGGCTTAGTTGTTCCACAGCCCACGGCGTGTGGGATCTTCCCGAACCAGGACTTGAACCCGTGTCCCCTGAATTGGCAGGTAGATTCTTAACCACTGCGCCACCAGGGAAGCCCCCAGCCATGTTGATATTCTTTTTTTTTTCATGTTGATATTCTTAATAAACATTTTAAGGCCAGAGCAAATGGAGTGGATGAGTACATTGAAAGGCTATAACGAGGATCTGGCTCCACAGTTGGACATATCTAACTCTCAAGCATCAATGACTAAATTAAAGAGCAGTGAATCAATTATTTGTTGAAAACTAGATATTAAAACTTTAAAAACTGCCCGCCCAAGTTCATTACTTACTGGTATCACCCACTCTCTTTCCCAAGTCATACTCTCCAGCTTTTTTTTTTTTAATCTTATTGAAGTATAGTTGATTTACAATGTTGTATTAGTTTCTGCTGTAAATTTTTTAATCGCCTATGTCCTTCATTGTCCAAAGCTCTGCCTTAGGTCAGCTAGATATTCTGAACAGCACTGTGCCCAAGTTATGAGCAACAACATTTCTGACCCATGTTTTACATTAACCCTGGATGTTGTGGCTCATGTCCAATTTTAGCAAATATAAGGAGAAGGTGGCTTACAGCCTAGAGAAAGGAAACAACAAAAAGAACATTTAACAAAACCTTGTATCTCTCCTAGTGCTCAATTACCTGTGGCAAAGGAATGCAGTCCCGTGTTATTCAGTGCATGCATAAGATCACAGGAAGACATGGAAATGAATGTTTTTCTTCCGAAAAACCTGCAGCATACAGGCCATGCCACCTTCAGCCCTGCAATGAGAAGATTAATGTAAATACTATAACATCACCCAGGCTGGGTAAGCAGACCAAAAAGGGGATGATTTTGAGAAACATGGAAATGATCATGGCTTCTTCTATTTTGCATATCACTTTAAAGCTTAGTTATCAATCTATACTAATTAGTTTGGTTCTGACTAAATTGGATCTATTCAACTATAGTTTAGTCCAGATGATCATGTGGGTAAAAAATTCTCAAGACTAAACTATTTTCATTCCTGAGCTGTCTACTCAGGTCCAGGCCCTGGAAATATGAATGCCATACCACCCAAGGTCATCCTATAAAGGGCTGAAGGATGTAACCATATTTTTGGTTCTGACCCATCCCATGGCAGAACCCTCAATTAAGGTAATGTCTATGGAAAGGTGAGGTTGTAGTGTACACCTTGGACCTCTTCATTGTTAATAGCCTTCCTTGTGATCCTGGGTACAAATTATCCTTTGGAGAGACAAAGAGCAAAAAAAATCACTTTCAAGGAGAACAGATGTATGTATCTACACCCCTGAACAAGTAGTACCATTTTTTTCATCTTTAAGGACATAATGTTAAATAAAAATAAATAGTAGTTACATTGATTTACATAGTTTTTATGTTATAAAATGCTTTCACATATATTCTCAATTCCTGCTATTTAATCTAATACATCATCAAGAAGTAGACTATGTATTTTAAGTATATATACCCTGCATTTGAACAACAAATATTCATGAATGAATTAGCCTTTAATTTTGTGGCAGTTAGTGGCTTTTAATAGCACTGCTGCCTGGATGTCACTGGGTTAATATACATTTAACACCTTCAGTTGTTTTTTTTTTTAAATTAATTTTTATTAGAGTATAGTTGATTTACAATGTTGTGTTAGTTTCTGCTGTACAGCAAAGTGAATCAGTTATATATATACATATATCCACTCTTTTTTAGATTCTTTTCCCAGATCGGTCATTACAGAGTATTGAGCAGAGGTCCCTGTGCTATACAGTAGGTCCTTATTAGTTACCTATTTTACATATAGTAGTGTGTATATGTCAATCCCAGTATTCCAGTTTATCCCTCCCCCCTTTTCCTCCTTGGCATACTGAGTGAAGTAAGTCAGACAGAGAAAGACAAATATCGTATGATATCACTTATATGTGGAATCTAAAAAAGTGGTACAGATGAACTTATTTACAAAACAGAAATAGAGTCACAGATCTAGAAAATAAACTTATGGTTACCAGGGGGGGAAACCTTCAGTTTCAATTTGTATGTATAATCTCCAGGGGATCAGTTTAATCATACAGAATAATATTGCCAAAATGCAAGGAGCTAAATTGTCATAGATACTTTTCCAGGCATACGATTCAATCAAATGGAAAAGTTTGTGTTCTTCATGGAAATATAAAAATTCTCTTTTTTAAGCCAAATAATTAACATTTCTAAGAAATAATCAGTTCAAGTAGAATTAAGACTAGTTAAGACAAAAAGTTAAGCAATCCTAGAGCAGATGCTCTAAATCCTTGTATTCAAAAACAGCATAATCCCTTTCTCCAACAATTATTTGGAGTCCTTCTTGAAGTATCATGTGTCAGAAAATAATGAATTAAAAGGAGAATTTAATTAAAACTCCATTTTCTCTGTTCATTTTTTCTTGAAGGCACATCCCCAAACACAGAAGCACAGTGGTTGGAAAATCTTAAGGTTTTTAAACATAAATTAATGAATCATACTAGAATAGTGGCAAAAGGAACAATTGTAGCAGAACTGCCTTTTATTATACATGCCAGAACACGCTATTTCTTCAGAAAAACTGGGGCCAAATCTACATGACTGAATTTTTTATACCAAGAGCTCATTTCAAGCACTTTATTGCTGTAAATTTTAGTCACTTTTGATAATCAGCTTTGATTTTAAGGATGCCTGAAATTGCAATTCTTAAATATCCCAGTTAGACATGTCTGCTATCTAGGAAACGAGGAATGTGAAATAAGTGTGAGCAGATTTTTGTTTTGCTATGTCTTCGCAATGTCATCCATAACAATACTTATTAATTTGTATTCTCGTAATGGTGGACATATTGAACACATTCCTTTTTCTTTTTAATCTCTCAACTAAAAATCCAAAAGAAGGTTAAATGAAAGCCATGAAATGGAAACTTAAAAGCCATTTGCAGTACACTTATTGGATTTGGGAACTCTATCTTTAATAAGTCTATAAAAGTTCATGAGTAAGACCATTATTCATTCACTTTACTCCTTTATTATAGGGTGTGTGTGTGTGTGTTTCTTTATCTTTTATGCTCCGTGAGGTAATATACATGAGTCAACGTGTGTGTACAAAATCCCCCAACTTAAGTGATTGCTCTTTGTTTCTACTCATGACACCTAGTTTATCTCATGACACCTAGTTCCCTGCGTTCTGCTTCACAGCTGCTCTGACTTTCAAGTGCCTGGGAAATCAGTGGCCTGTGTACTGCCGGGTGATACGTGAGAAGAACCTCTGTCAGGACATGCGGTGGTATCAGCGCTGCTGTGAGACGTGCAGGGACTTCTATGCCCAAAAGCTGCAGCAGAAGAGTTGACCTCTAGCAGGCTGGCTGGCTAACAGCTCTTTGCAATTACATTATTTATAAACACACACACTAGCATGTTTTTCAGACCAAATATTATCAGATTACATATAATTTAATCAAATTAATTTATTTTTTTGCCTGCCACACATCCAATATGGTGTTTGTTTTGGTTCTACAAACATTTTGATTTATACTATATGGCTTCATAAATAATTTTATATAAATAAGTTGGATCCAGTTTCCAGAATAAAAATAAAAAGGGAAAAAGAAAAAACCAAGATCTTTAGGCTTTAAAAAAACCAAAAAAAACCAAACAAAACATTTTTTTAAATTAGGGCCGTCTCTAAGATGCTACTCTCTCCCCGACAATACCATTGAGTTATCCAGAATGTATACTAATTTAGCATAATAGTTTAGTTATATATGGAGAGAAATCATTTTTGTTTTTTGGTATCCTGATGCAGAACTAGCCCATTTTCTGTAATCTGCAGTAGATGTGTCAACATAACAAACCTCATAGTGTTGAACAGGTTTTTAGAGAATGTATTATGCATTGCGTTCAGATTTAGAGATATCCATAGGAAAAATTCTACTGTAATTATAGCCTTATTTTAATAATGAAAAAGAAAAGTCAAAATAGAGACTTTGATCATGTTCATGAACATGTACTTGAACACAAGTATTGTAACAATGAAACACTGTAATGATTTACACTGAATCACCATTGCACTGTTGATATAGTGTAGAGAAACCGTTATAGAAATGGTAACATCCTACAAAAATGTGTAGTATTTTAACATGTTGTCATTAGATTTTAGCTTTTTAAAATATTTTGAACAAAGAAAGCGTTGATCCCCTCATTTCCTTGTATCTTTTTAGCAGATCTATAAAAGAGTATAGTACTTAGCCTCACAAATCATAATGAGAAAATTTACTAGTTTTCAGTCTTTTCCCTAGAAACAAGGAAAAACAAAAAGCTTATAACACTGTGGTAGTTTCATTGTGTTTTTTCTTTCTAAAACTTAAAAAAGTTTTACAATTCTGTGAAACGTTTAAAAACCAGCTTAAAGGTTTTCTTGTGAGAAAATATTGTACATGATTCACATGATTTCTTAGATTTTTCAATAAAATATGTGAAACTTCCTGCTGAGAGGCAATTCTTCATGAGTCTCTCACATTTCCACATGTCTTGGCACTGTCTGCTTTTGTTCTGGAGTATCTTCTAAAGGATGTTTGTGTAATGAATAGCCTTGGAAGGTAAATATAGCGTCTTTTTTTTGGAGCAAAGGGCAGACATTCTTATTTCTCATTATGAAAGTTTCAGGTTCCTTAAAATTGGGGTCCCTCTCCTGTAATACAGTTCACTGCATGTACAGGTACCGCCTGGCTCTCTTCATGTCACCCTGTGGGAATTGGGGCTCAGGGAACCAGTGCAGGAAAATGCTGATTCTCTGGCTACTGCTGTTGCCACAAGTAATAAAGTCCTTTGTCTCTAACCCAGGAATTTTATGTCTTCTGCCCTGAGAGTGTGGCAGGCCAACTTGCTAGATTGCAAGTAGAGTAAAGCCTCAAAGTCTTCACAGTTCTTGACACCTTCCCTCATTAGTATTTTCACCTTCATGTTCATACGGGGCACAGTTTGTTTCTAGACTGTCCCTTACTTTGGATATCCTTTAATTTAATTGTTGAAATATAAAATCAACCAGTATCAACACATCTTAGGTAAGATAGTAGGGGAATGAGAAAGGGAAAAATTACATAGGAAGAGGAGACATTCTTAATCCATCCCTTGATTCCTGAATCCGTGAATTGGTGTAGAACTACCACCATTTATTGGTCGATGAATTAGGCCCTATACAACATCTTAGAGGACCGCCAAAATGTTTTCACCCAGCTGATGCGAGAATTGATTATTTGGGGGTAGAAAAGATGTTGCATCATTCTGTCAGGCCATCTGTTCAGGGTGATGGGGAACATGGTAATACCAGCGATTCACGTGAGCATAAGCTCACTGCCACATTTTTTTAAACTGTAATAGGAATTCTCTGAACAGAAACAATATCGTATGGAATACCCTGTCGGTGAACGAAGCATTTGGTAAGTTCATGGATGCTATTTTGGCAGAAACTTTGCAGGCTGGCGGGGGGCAAATCCATAATCAGGGTACGTGGCTATTTCTGTGAGAAAAATCCATTGCCTGTTTGGTGATTAAAGTGATCTAATATAATCTTACTGTAATCAAGGTGTTTTGGCTGCCTTGACAAGGACTTGGGAGGAGCGTGGTTTGAAAATTGGTGACAAAGAAGTTCTGAGGAAAAGATATGTGAATAACATATATTCCATTTGACTGCTCACCAAAGAGCACCCTCAGGAGAGAGGACTCAGTCGTCAGTTGGATAAGATGATGGTTTCTGTGTATGTTGGCCAGTCTCTTTCATCAGCCACCCTTGTCCTTGCCCAGTGAGCCCAGGAACAGAGACAGTGGTGGCAGGACTGGAGATTATGTGTGGGTTCAGCCATGTGAGCTACCACTCACCAAGGCCAGTCTAGCTACAGTCACTGCTGAGGGCTCAACCTAACAATAGCAGAGAAAATATTATTTCCCAATATTGGCACCATTCTATGGAAGGACCAGCCCACCGCCTTGATTGCAGTAAGATTACATTAGATCACTTTTATCACCAAACAGGCAGTAGTTTGTTCTCACAGAAATAACCACTTACCCTGAATATGGATTTGCCTCCCCAGCCTGCAAAGTTTCTGCCAAAACAGCATCCATGAACTTACCAAATGCTTCGTTCACCGATAGGGTATTCCATACGATATTGTTTCTGTTCAGAGAATTCCTATTACAGTTTAAAAAAATGTGGCAGTGAGCTCATGCTCACGTGAATCGCTGGTATTACCATGTTCCCCATCACCCTGAACAGATGGCCTGACAGAATGATGCAACATCTTTTCTACCCCCAAATAATCAATTCTCGCATCAGCTGGGTGAAAACATTTTGGAGGTCCTCTAAGATGTTGTATAGGGCCTAATTCATCGACCAATAAATGGTGATATTTCTACAAGGAAGTTTTGACATCTCAATTTCATTCAGTGCAGACCACCGTTGGGTCCAGTTTTCAGTCATATTGTTAAGAGTTACTCCCAGACGTGTGAACTAACACTTTGAATCAAGAATCTCTGCTTAGTGAACCCATGTCAAAAACATTTAGGTTAATAGAATATTGTATTCCTTTTGTCCTAATATAACACCATTAAGAAACATCCTCATACATATATCTTGGGTTTCAGTTAATGTGAATTGGTGAAATCCTGCAGTTCCTTTGGCAATGTATGGTAGCACCTTAAAGTCATACTTTTTCCCTGGTTCTGGATCTTCCAGGACTTGAATCTGGATGTGGATTTAGAAGACATCACAGATGGTAAGACATCAGCAGTACAGTTTAAAAGGTTTTATTTCAAGACAGTCATAAAAGCTTTCTGGTTCCCAACTTAGACCTTGAGCTGTGAATGTAAAACCCCAGGCTTATCATTCTCTTTCTGTAAGTTCTCCAGCTGATTTAGAAGAAATGAATCAACCCCACGGTCCTTATTCTCTTTGCTTCTATGGAAAATTTATATTGCAGCAGGTACTTTGTAACCTAGGGCCTTGCTTTCTCTAGGCACTTCAGTCCAGGTAACTATAGGTGAGAGTTTTTATAACCATTCTGCCCCTGTATGTCATGGATGACCAGGGTCCCACTTACTACTGGTCATTAATGCCTTTAAGTCTAGTCATATCGGAGAACTAATTCCAGATTCCATTTTTAAAATTCTGTTCCTTGGAAGCACTTCTGACACCTGTAGTTGCCAGATCCAATCAGCAAAGCAGTGATAGAGGATAATAGGTTTGAACTCAAACAACAGCAGGAGGACCCTGGACGTGAAGGTCCGTAAGAGGAGTTGGAGGATCAGAGCAGTCACCAATCTGAGCAGCCAGGCACAGCCAGGTAAGTTTAACGACAAAGGGGTAATTTGTGAAGATGTCTATGAGATGCTGTTGCCTTTGTGTAGCTTCCTCCTTTACAGGACCAGTGCCAACACTGGGTAGTGGATCTAAGTTTCCTGGCGGTCAACAGGACCAACAGTTGGAAATAAGAAATGGGCATAGAGCTCAGGAGAGCAAGGCAATCTAGAACCTGCCAAGTGCCTATGCCTCTGTCACGATATCTGATTGCAAAAAGAATTGCAGATTAATGGGTGCTGCTTCCATGGTGCCTTCCAAATTTCATGCCAGTTTCTCTTTCAGCTTCTTCTAACCCAGACTCACACAAAGAAGGGTATTCTGGGAAATGGAGTCTGCTTTTTAACTGTGGATCATAAAACTTTAAATTTTTTTCTCCAGTTTGCTTTATATCGGAGATGGCTGAAATGAAAACCCATTATTTATGCACTCTTAAAATAATAGGGAACCATTTTTAAGCACTTCATATATGCTAAGCATTCTTTTAACCAGTATACCTATTAAACCTCACAGCACCCTCGTAAGGGACCATTAATATCTTCACGTTGTAGCTGAGGAAACTGAGGACCAGAGAGATTCAGCAACTTGCTCAAGAGCACAGTTTAGTTGGATGTATCACTCTGACCTCAAATTCTGTGCACTTAGTTAATGTGATTGCCTCCCTCGTTCATCAGTTTTGATAATGTTATGTAATAGATGCCCAATGATTTATAACCTAATCACAGGCTTTCTTTGTAATCAAACTATCCAAAACTGTCCAAATTTTCAAAATCAGATAATTTGATGAACCCCAACTGCTCATGTGGACATCATCCAGGCTTTTCAGATGGAAATACTTTCAGATACTTCAGTCGGTTATTTGCATAAGAAAAAGAAAGGAAAGAAGGAAGAAAGGAAAGGAGGGAGGGAGGAAGGGAGAGAGGATGAGGAGAAGAAAAGAAAATATGGTTAATTAATATGTAGACAGTTTTGCCTAGTGAACTGTATTTCTATTTTTATAATTCTCGTGGTTCAAAAGACAATAATTCTGGGCCCAAATCCAAGGGATAATGATGCTTTTATTAAAATTTGCTATAAAGAGAGAGAACAAATGATTACATGCATGGTAAGAGTTGAGAAGCCCCAGATATCCAGATTTCCACCAGATTGTTCCTGTAATATAACTCTTTATTTATATTTATTTATACTCTTTGTCACTCTAGGATGAAGGTGTTAGTGACAACAAAGAAATAGAACTCCTAAGACAGTATTTGTCCAATCACTGTCAGGTAAGTTTTTTGTAGAGTTAAAAGGACAACAGTGAAATGGGTGTTATGTGACCAAATAAATTTGGCAAATGCTAGCGTTAATGAAGCAGAACTTCTCAGAGTCTTCCATGTGAGTTTGTGCATTATAAACTACCAGAAGAGAATACAGAGTATGTCATAAATATTTTTGGCGATGGAATTCTTTTTTCACTGGGCACGGTTGATTGAAAAACAGAGCACTAAGCCATTTTTTAAATCAAATTTAATTGGATTATCAATTTCCAACCAGAGGGCTCTGGAAGAGACAACAGCCACCGTTATTGATTGAGCGAAGGGCTTTATGAGGTTCTTAGGACAGGACTCATGTGAGGAAGGAAGCATCCAATAGGGCTGCTCGTTTGTAATGTATCCAGTATAGGGGCTCATAAAAGAAAAGGGAAAAATATATTATCAAACAAAAGATAGTAAGAGTATAAACAAATCACTCTGAAATTTCAAACGAGGGAAAAATCATTTCCCCTACTAGAGAACATATGTAAAGTTTTTGTGAAAGGCTAGGTATCAGCCATGGCCCGTGAAGTATGAATAGGAGGTGGTCAAAATCCAGGGTTGGGAAGAAATGTTACCAGGCAGAAGGACTGGCGTCAGCAGAGGTGTGATTTGGGGGTGAGGAGGAGGTGGGGTTTGGCCAGTAGCAGGAGAGGGAGTAGTAAGCTTCATTTCCTGATTATCAGTCATGTAGGCTACCCATAGGGACAGTAGTAAGAAGTAAGAACTGATGGTTTTTGGGGTGACAGTAGACAAAGGATGGTGGGAGAATGTGGAGAGTCAGAAACCGAACTTGTAGACAGAAGGAGATAGTATACAAACCTCTGGGCATCTAAAGCACAGTGGAGGAATCTAAAAGGAAGGACGCCTAAGGAAAACTGAAGGCTCATTTCACCTACCTCATACTTTGGCTAAGGAAAACTTCTAATCAAATATATTTGGATCTGGGTTTTGTGTCTCCACTTGGCCAATATAGAGAGCCAAAGAGAAGTAAGGTTCTTCTTGAAGATGTGTGTTATTCCCCAAAGAATCTTTTAGGAAAAGCAAACAGCCCGAGAAATATTTGTTCATTAGATGTGTTCTGGCAGCTGCCAGAAAAACCCAGAAAGTCCTAAGTACATGCACATACACATAACACACTTGATTCTTCAAACACTTGTGATTTAACTCTTTTGTTATCAACTGTCATTATGAAGTACCTCTTTCTCCAGTAAGTGTATTGATAAAAACCACTCAAACTTATTTCACATATTGTAAGACAGTGATAGAGTTTGGGTCTAAAAATTCTTACAGAAAACATTGGTTGTTTAATCCAGTTTGCAACTGTCAGTAGGAAAGATGATTTTTTAACAGCTTCATGCTTTTTGTTATAAAGGAGGTAAGTACTCTCTAGTGTCTTGCTTGATTCAAGAACATCCTAGCTGCTCAGTCTAATAAGCTATAGGGCACTCTTCTGAAATCTGGTGCTGATACATTCCACACGTGACCTCATTTCCTCTGGAAGAAAATCCTTCCTGCTGAATCAGATGGGTTTACAGAGGCACAAACATAACAACCTATGTCTTTTAAAAACTGCTGATGTGTCTGTCCTATGCCTTCTCAAGAGTGGAAATGTTCCCTCTTTCTCTAGATGAAAATCCACACTTTCCTGGTGAGAAGTATGGTTTGCCCAAGGCAGAGTGGCTTGTAATGAGAGAGCTTATCTCCCTTAAAGTCATCATCACTTCCTGGCTTAAGATGCCGTCCACAGCCTCACTCCCACCTCGGCTCCCTGAGTAGCAGGTGGGTTCACTTAGGACAGCACGTCATCCAAACCCAGCAGCCATGTTCTCCTTTGGTTCCAAATGTACTTTGTAAACACCAAGACCCATCACAGGAGTTTATACAGCTAGGAACAGAGTCAAAGAGACCTCAGATAGAGAATGGGTCAAAGCAGTAGTTTGGGGCACTAAATTACTGTAGCAAACTATCAAATTCTTGCCATTTCCCTACTCGAGCTGAAGCTGACAACCTAAACATGGTTAGATTTCACATGAGCCTGAGACTCTGGGAGTCAAAACATGAGAAGAAACAAGATCCCACGTATCACATGTGAGGCTGTGCAGGCAAAGCCAAGTCAGCTGGGCCAGCTCGGCAATGTTCAGAGAGAAATATTAAGTAATGTCTCCCTACAGGTGATTGTTTCATGTGCTCCAAACTGTGGACTCTAACCCTGAAATTCTGGCAGCCTTATCCAAAGAGTAGTTCCTCTTAAACTGTTACTCCTAACTCTGTATGGAGAGACATTACGTGCTACACATACCTAATTTTGGTATCCCATCCAATTTAATGCGTGTGGGCCCAACTGTTCCACTGAAGCACGCGTGCGTGCGTGTGTGTGTGGTGAAAGGTAAGGCAGCGTGCTACATTGTTCCTGTGTGTGGATGTGTCATTTCGAGAGTAGTTTCTGAGCACAGCCCAGAGACCTGGTTTCAGATGCCTGTCAGGCATTCTCAGGCTCATCAATAATGGACAGCTCTGACAGCGGCAGTCTTGCTTGCCTTTGTTTTCCACCGTAGAAGAAGGGAGACATGGATCTCTCTGTTTTGCCAAATAACAACCATCCTGACAAATTCCTGCAGCTTGACGTGAGGTCTTTAATGAGGAACTCAGCCCTTCTTCAGGCCAGTCTGGTGAAGTTTCCGGGAGGGAATTACCCTGCTGCACAGCACTGGCAAAACCTCATCTACTCACAGGTAAGATCTGGGAGCACATAAATACGCGGGCAGGGGCTTGCTTCTTTCTCGTTATTGGCCATTTCATCATTTGTGCAAAAAGAAAGCTATAGGGAAGAGAGTACAAAGTAGCTGCTCACACTTGCCATAGAAAAGGTCTTTCTCTCTTCCTTAACATAAGGAGACTTTCTCTGATCACTTTATAAATTCTGTGAATTTTCCCAACCATTCGTTTTCCTCCAAGCACTAGCTTCTCAGCCTGTCATTTTAGATTTTGCCTAGCCCTCATTTTATACCTTCCCTTCAAATTTTTTCAATCAATTACTACATTTGCAAATAAGGCTCTGGGGGGAACCCTACCTCTATCTTTTGGGTAGTCTAAGCATAAAGCATCAGAAGCTTACATTGTGTGGGCTCATGCATGGCCTCTGAGAGAACTGAATCTTGCTTCTGCCTCATTTAGACAGACTCCCTTTTATCTCATGCAAAAGAGACTCAAACAGTGGAACAATGGCAACCTAATGATGGAAAGAAAGAAAACAGAGAGAACTCTCCACCTGGGAAAGGTGCTGGTTATTATTTTAGAGGTTCTTTTTTTTCCACAGGTGTCCATGTGGGCAAAACTTAACAATCAACCTTCAAACCCGGACTTCATTTCTTGCTTTCTTCTTTTGCATCTTCCTTCTTTTTGCTAACCAAAGGGGAAGAATAAAACTGTGATGAGTTCCATGTGCTGAAATAAACATAAATAAACTTGACTGTTGCACAGCTCATGAAACAGGAATAATCTTTGTTTAAGATTTGAGGGCTAATGGGGTTAAGGGTTAGTCAATTTAGAAACAGGAAGAAGCATGTCATTTCAGAACAGATGTGACTGACCTGCAAACCCCTGCAAATCATTAAATCCTTTGGAGTGGCTCAAATTCCCTAAACAGAAATTTGTTTTCTTTTAAGAAACAGTTGCTACTCATGAGTCCTGGTGTAAAGTGACTCCTTTGTGGTGTGTTTGTGGGCTCCTCGGGACCTTTATCATGAGATCATTCAAAATCAAGTACACTTGGATGATTATGTAAGTGTTTCCTCCATCTATGAGGATTTTAATTTATTTCCATTGTAAGGCAGCCTATTATGAAAACTAACTTTTCAAAAATTTTACATCCTTCCCTTTTGTAATCCTCAAAACCCATCCATACACACCTTTTTGGTGGTTGCTTTTTTTGTGTTTTGTTGAAGTTAAATGTGATGAAATTTCTCCTTTGTCTTATTGTTTATATCATGGAATAAAATGATTCAAAACTCAATTCAGAGAACCTTGGCCCTCCTGTGCTATGAAGTTTAGTCTAAGAAAACATATCCAATAAATTCCTTTGAGGTTGGAACACATCGATCTAACATCTTTTGTTTAGGACTGGAGCTGACCTATTTCCTTCATGTGGAACTTCACAGTTTAAAGCTCTGTTGAATGTTGTTCCTAAACCTGAATGAAATGCAAATTTTTAAAGGGCATCTCTTTCAACAGGCCCTGATGTGTTGATATAGTTATTCAGGGCAAACCAAGAAGGTAAAAGTCTGCTTCATATGTCTTTGAATATGTTATCGGTAATTATAAACTATAGATAAACTTTATTAAGTTATACTTTTACCCTAAAATAAAATGTTAAATGACTGAATAAATATTTCAGTTCAGTATACTACTGAAATAATGCTTGGAGAGAAGGAGTAAATGAATTACAAATTTAGTTAGTTGAGTAGGTGTGGCACAGATTATGAGTAAAAACAATTATATTCACTACATTAGATTGCAATATGTCAATAAGTAATTCTTCTCTCCTTGGCTGGATCTTAAAATCCAGGAGTGATATATTCATTGGCAAAAAAATAAATCTAAAAGAAATGAACATATAAAAGTTTTAAGGGGGCTTCCCTGGTGGCGCAGTGGTTGAGAATCTGCCTGCCAATGCAGGGGACACGGGTTCGAGCCCTGGTCTGGGAAGATCCCACATGCCGCGGAGCAACTGGGCTCATGAGCCACAACTACTGAGCCTGCGCTTCTGGAGCCTGTGCTCTGTGACAAGAGAGGCCACGGTAGTGAGAGACCTGCGCACCGTGATGAAGAGTGGCCCCGGCTCGCCGCAACTAGAGAAAGCCCTCACACAGAAACGAAGACCCAACACAGCCAAAAAACATAAAAATAAATAAATTAATTAATTAAAAAAAATATTTTAAGTAGCTGTGGTGATACCTGGAATAAGGCACTGAATATACCAGGTGAATTTAGGTGTTAGGGATGCAGAAGGTGGTAGGCAGCTGTTAAATAGTTCTTAATTTAAAACCGTTGCTCTGTTGGCTTAATGTCTCACTCTGCTAGGGAGACATTATGCCAATTGGGAGAACGTTGAATAAAGAGATTTGAAACTTGGTTTCTTGTCTCAAATCCACAATAAACCAATTTGAGAGACATAAATTATGACCCTTATTCAGTCCATGCCTTAGTATTTCCATTTGCAAAATTAGGGTAATGCTCATTTTACATATTTCCTTAAAACTGAGAGCAAATAAAACAAGGTAAAAACAATTGACAGGGTTTCTTATAAGAGTATAAGAAATGTGTATCATCATCATCATCACTTGCCAGTATTCCAAAATGTGTTAGAATTACCCTGTCATTAGAATTTGGAAAATAGCCGATAATACCACTTGCATTTATTGATGTATACGGTGGATGCAGGGGCGTATGTGTGCGTGTAGGTGTTAGAGGATGTAGTCAATACATTTGTCAAGCTATGTGGCTAACTCAAGCCGTTAGATTTTATACTCCCAAGAAATCCACACAAACTTCAGGTTTGTGTCAGCTTACCCTTTGGTCTCATACCCTCTATGTGCATGGTGTTTAGAATTCAGACTACCTCATGGAATGTCAAAGGACTTAGTCTACAAACATTGCCTTCAACGTTGGTAGTAACTCAACAGTTAAAACAAAGATCTCCTAGGGACTTGCCTGGCAGTCCTGTAGTTAAGACTCCGCACTTCACAGCAGGCGCCACAGGTTTGATCCCTGGTCAGGGAACTAAGATCCTGCATGCTGTGTTGCATGGCCAAAAAAACCAAAAAACAAAACAGAGTACTGTATTTATATGCATAATTTATCTTTTAAGCTTTTTTAAAATTCACATTCCACCTTCAGAGGCAATTCTCTAAGCCATTTTACACAAACGGAAGCAATACCGTATGTATAGAAAAGTAAGCACAGATGTCCTCAGGCATGCCAGTATCTCCAAACACTGTTCATTCCCTCTATGTGGATACACAGGTCACCTGTATTTGTAGGGAGAGAGTACAAGCAAATATTTCTTGATTCCACTAGATTTATACTTCTTAAATTCTTTCAACTAGAGAAATAAAGAAGCTTCCTAATAAATTTCTTTTCAGTGCAATGAACAAACTTTTGCCAAAACCTAATGTTTCTGGTTGTTAAAATAATTTGGGGCATGTATCTGATGAAGGCATTTGGAATTGTATCCCAAATTTTTCTGCCAATCCCTTTATAAAACGAGGTAATAAAAGGAAAAAGCTGATTCCTTTTTTTTGGTATAAATGATAAAACATGTTTTTTCAGATATTGTGGTGGGATTTTTTTTTTTCTGATTAGCAGTTAGACTTCAGAATCTTTTCAGGTTAATCTATTTCTTATATCTTTTCCTGGCTTCCATCACATCTGTTTGAGAACCCAGGGGATTTCTGTACTAAACCTGTGAACTGAAACAAAAGACCAAGGGTAAGGAGGTTGCTCTTCCCTTGGTTTCTAGACAATGTCATTTACTGGGTGTATTTCCTAATCACCTTGCCTCACTTTTTTTTCAGTCTTATAACTCTTTTCCCCTTAAATTCTAAAGTCTCTTCTTTCTATCTCAGTTTTTTTTTTTTTTTTGGTATATCATAACTGTATTTCACAATCTGTCTCTGAACACGTGTCATGCCTTCTCCTGGACTGTCTCTTTTCCCAATACTCCATTTCCTATTTCAAAAAAAACAGCCACCTATGTGCAATAGGCTCCCATTTTTAAGCTTATATTTGGGCAAATGTTATAGGACTTTTGAGGTACTTAATTTATTGTCTAGGAAGTAGATTGAGGAGCATCACTGAGCTGCTCAGGCAATTATCAGGACATGATTTATCAAGTTATGCTAAATTTACACAGTTCACAAAATCTCCATTGGGGTCAGAAATTCACCCTTGGGTGGTATGCTGCCAGAAGCATTACCCACTTTGTCCCATCACACTGCTCCCATATGAGACCCAAACGCCCCTGGCACTGAAACTGTATTAAAAGCACTGTGTGTGTCACAGGAGCACATGTGGGACTCCAGAGCCCTGGTTACTTGGAGAGGAAGGCAGGAGAGGGGGTTAAAGAGAGGTCTGGATCAGACCAGGAAGGCTTCAGAGGGTGTTGTCTAGATTTTTAAATTTTATCCTGAAAATTTGGAGGGGTTGATGAAAAATTTTAAGCAAGAGGATCACATGATCAAATTTGTGTTTCATGAAAGTAACCATTCTAGCAATTTGGAAAATAGAATTATTGTGGTCAGTGGGGAGCTGCTTTCCAAGAAAAGTTGTCTGTGGGCTCACATGTGCAATATAACAAAATGCCTTGTTTGCATTATGATTATGATAGGAACTACATTGTATGTGTAGACCAAACTGGGGAAATGGAAGTCTTTATGATCTTGATTCTCCCAGTTCATGAACATGGTATATATTTCCATTTATCATGCTCTTCGTATAGCCTTCAATTATGTCTTATAATTCTCCACATAGAAGTTTTGCATATAGTTGTAATGTTTATATCTAAATACTGATAGCAATTACTGCTCTTAAGAATAGGACCTTTTAAATCATGTTTTATAATAAAATATCACATATGCTATTGATTATTGTATATTGATTTTGAATCCAGAAATTGTATTAACATCTATTTTACTTTGATGGTAAGTATCCCTGTAGATAATCATGTCATCTACTG